TGGGGCTGTCAAAGCGGCCGCACAGTCCTCCGCTTGGGGAGGCGCACTTTAGTGCTTCCCCTTCAAAGAGATGATGCCTCGTGGACCGGGCATCTTAAGCGTAAGAGATGCATAATGCGGTATTGCGTTAAAGCGAGCGAAAGCTTCACGTCCCAGTAGTGCTTGATAGCGACTTGAGAACGGGACGATATGGAGGGTCAGCTTTTCGCGGCGGAGGTTATCGGCAGAGCCGAATGTGACTGTGAGCCGGAGAAAACCCGTACAATGGGTGTCCGGACCAGGTATTACCCCTTGAAAGGAGGTTTTGCTGCGGTGGATTCTTGCTGGGTTTATCCCCATGTGCTGGATTGTATCCTGATATATCAGGTTTAGTCCACTGCCGCCGTCCATAAGGACATTTGAAAACTGGAGTCCGCCAATTATTGGATCGAGTATCAAGGCAGTCCAGCCTACATTCTTGATATTCCTAGAATAATCTAGCTGATCGAAGATGATCGGTTTTGACAACCAGTGGCAGGACCCTTTGGGGATGGGCCGTGTGGTGCGTACCTTTACGGGCGCCGCACGTTTTGTTATGTGAAGTGAGTTCACTGTTTTTACTTCTTGTGGGAAGTTCTTTTGTTTCCTGGTGCTCTGCTTTTGGGGTTCGTCCTCGTCTTTGCTTGGTGTGTCGAGCCCCTTGTGTTCGGCATTGAGTCTGCCGGATTGTTTGAAAACCCAACAGTCTCTGTGCGTATGGTTAGCAGGCTTCCCGGGAGTACTGTGTATCTGACATATCCTATCCAGGATTTTATTTAGGTTGGATGGATCGTCCCTGTTATCCTGGGGGGGGGCGATTTTTCCTGATTTTGTCGTGAGCCTTTGAATCCGGCATTGACTGCCGTGCTCTTCGGACTTTTGTCCTTAGTCCAGCGACGGTCCTTGTTGCGTCGCGGTTTTCTGTTTCCATCCCTAGTTTCGGATGTACTTGGGTCGCTGGGGCTGCACCTTGCCAGCCAGCTGTCCTCCCCTGCACAAAAGCGGGTCATGAGGCTTGTTAGTGCGGCCATTGTTCTTGGCTTTTCTTGGCCGAGGTGTCTGGTGAGTCATTCGTCTCGGACGTTATGCCTGAAAGCTGCTAAGGCTTCTGCGTCCGGACAGTCGACTATCTGATTCTTTTTAATGAGGAATCTGTTCCAGAACTGCCGAGCCGATTCTCCGGGTTGTTGAGTTATGTGACTAAGATCGTCTGCGTCCGGAGGGCGGACATAGGTCCCTTGAAAGTTTGCTCGGAAAGCATCCTCGAGCTCTTCCCAGCTTCCAATTGTGTTTTCAGGAAGGCTTTTAAGCCAATGTCGGGCAGGCCCTTTAAGCTTAAGGGGTAGATATTTTATGGCGTGGAGATCATCTCCTCTAGCCATGTGTATGTGGAGGATATAATCCTCGATCCAGACTCCAGGGGCTGTTGTTCCATCATATGCCTCTATGTTTACGGGTTTGAATCCCTCTGGGAATTCATAGTCCAGGACCTCATCGGTGAAACATAGGGGTGTGCGGCGCCCCTGTATTTGGGTGTGTCGGATTCTGATGATGGCTTCATAGCGTTGCTTACGAGAGCTTGCTTTCTTGGCCCATAAATGGACCTGACTGGGCCATGATGCGAATCCTTAAGTGGGTCGCATGCCGATTTAGGTGCGGCGCCGCTTGCCGCTTTATGGGGTCGTCTATCCGACCGTGTGGCTTTTTCGTTTTTTGAGGGCTCTAGGGCCTCTTCGTCAAATTCAGGCAGTAGCTTTCTTTTCGGATAGCTTTTAGTGCGGCGACTGTCGCCGTACTTATCTGTGGTATTGATTACTTTGCTCCATCTAATCCGGAGTGCATCTTCCGCTGTTTTTAGCTTCCGCTTCTGCTTTTTTAGGCTGCGTGCAGTTGCAACGAGCCTCTCGTGGAGATTCTTCTACTCCATAGGTTTAATTGGCGTGAGGTCGTCCGGAATGTCGTTTTCGTCGGAGGAGGGATGTTCGGTTTCTCTATCTGTGTTGCCCTGTTCGGACGGTTGCTCTAAGGCCTGCTCGTCGTCTACCAGCTCGTCCTGCTCTATGGCTGGGTTTTTGTCGAGGCGGGGCTTGGGTCGGTGTTTACGCCGACGCTTTGATTGCTTTTCGGGGGGTCGATCTCCCGTCCCATCCCCTTTTTCCTCATTGTCGCTTCCTTTAGGGGTATCCACCATGTACACATCATGAGATGAGGTGGCTGTCCAATGCCCTATGGGCGTTGGTTCGTCGGTATCTCCTGCATCGTCATCCATGCTGTCGATGTCTCCGGAGTCGAAGTTGAGCACGTCATTTAAATTGTCGACACTGGCTACCAAGTGGGTGGTGGGTGGGCTTTGAATTTCTTCATCGTCCATATCCCATCCTCGCTGACCGTAGTTCAGCCAGGGCTCTCCTGATAAGGAGAGAGACTTGAGAGAGTTCAGGATATCGCCACAAGGCGAGTGCTGAAAGATGTCTGCGGCGGTGAACTCCATTATCGGCGCCCAATCGGATTCGATTGGCAGGGGCGCGGGGGGTTCGGAGTCCGGGGAGGAGTCCGGATCCTCGGAGTCACGGGTCGTGCAGAGTGCGGGGCTAGCGTTCGGCTCGATCGCTTTCGGGATCGCAGCCCCCGAGGTGACGTCCAACCGCTCATCCTCGATTGGCGCAATAGGCTCCGAGTTAGGGGTCGGAACCGATGCGTGTGCGGCATCCAGGACACTGTCCGGGGGCAGAGCTAGATCATGCCCCTCGAGATAGTGCGGCGCGCTTGGCCGTGGCTCGAACCCGTCGAAGATCAAGTCTCCGCGGATGTCAGACGTGTAGTTTAAGCTTCCAAACCTGACTTGATGGCCAGGGACGTAGCTTTCGATCTGCTCCAGGTGGCCGGGCGAATTGGCCCGCAGAGCGAAGCCGCCGAATACGAAGATCTGTCCGGGGAGAGAAGTCTCACCCTGGACCGCATCATTGTTGATGATCAAAGGAGCCATCGGGCCTAAAGGCGACGACACAGAGGAACCCTCAATGAAAGCACCAATGTCGGTGTCAAAACCGGCGGATATCGGGTAGGGGGTCCCGAACTGTGCGTCTAGGCCGGATGGTAACAGGAGACAAGGGACACGATGTTTTTTACCCAGGTTCGGGCCCTCTCGATGGAGGTAATACCCTACTCTTGCTTGATTAATATTGATGATATGGGTAGTACAAGAGTAGATCTACCACGAGATCAAGGAGGCTAAACCCTAGAAGCTAGCCTATGGTATGATTGTTGTGTATGGAGTTGATTGCTTACGGACTACGATCCTCCGGTTTATATAGACACCGGATAGGGTTAGGGTTACATAAAGTCGGTTACAATGGTAGGAGATCTTGAATATCCGCATCGCCAAGCTTGCCTTCCACGCCAAGGAAAGTCCCATCCGGACACGGGACGAAGTCTTCAATCTTGTATCTTCATAGTCCAGGAGTCCGGCTGAAGGTATAGTCCGGCTACCCGAACACCCCCTAATCCAGGACTCCCTCAATGAGCTTTCCAGCAGCTTGAATCCATCATTCTTTCTCCTCAGAGCTTAGATGAATAATATTTTCCCCAGGTCATGTTTACCCAAGGAAGATTCTCTTTGTTCAGTAATTTGTAGAGGTTTTCCATGAGCATTGCTTTGCTATGAACGTATAGATTTTATTATGGAGTACAATGCCTAGAATAATAACAAAACTTTTTTTACAATGACTAGAATCAAAAGTCTTGTTATTACATGCTCAACATAAATGTAAAATATAGTTTTATGTAGTTTTTTTTAGAAAAAAAACTATTAAAATTGAACTTGAAATGTATGTTTTGAGGATTCTAAAACATTTTAGTCAGTTTACTCCATTTGAATACTCCGGAAGTTCAAATAATAGCACTATAATATTGAACATCGCTGTTTTTTGTTTGCAAAGTAGAACTCAGTCAATACGGAGTACAACAAGTGAGTTTTTTTTTCATGCGCAATAGTTCTGGTTATTAAGATTTTTTGAACCATTTATTAATTATAAAAAGTTTCCAAGCAATTTGTGGCTAGGAACGAGTCTCAAAAGTGGACCAAAGTCTCAGTCCATGAAAAATTGTTGAAATGTGGAGCAAAGCACCAATCTATGGTGAAAGAGAATAAAAGGGTAATATCAATGAAGACAAAATGTAGAATTTATTACCCACAAATTGCAAGTTAGACAACTCGCCAAGAATGATGGTGTGAGATGCCGAAGTGTTGTTATGTTCCCAGGTGCATATGCACCTGGGATGAAAAGTAAATTTTAGAAAAGAGGAAATTTTTGATTATTTTGTGAGAAAATTTGTTGAATGTTTTACCAACTTGCAGAGTATTGTGATGAAAAAACGTAAAAAAAAAAAACAAAACCAATGTCTCAAAATGCTTTAAAAAGTTGTCCTTCTTGGAACATCGTTTTTGTTTTCTTTGTCAGACCTCCGCGAATGTTCTTTCACCACAAAATTTTGCATGTTGAGACAAAACATTCAACAATTTTTGTCTCAATTTGTTTTTTTTTCTTCAAATTTTTCCCTATTTGTTTCGATGTTACTGGTCACCCGGTGAGATGCATGCTATTTACTTATCCGGCCTTTTGCTTAGCCAGAGCTTAGCCGCCAGAAGTTTGGACTTTGGGCGCGCGTATAAACAAAATAACATGCAGAGATGAGCCTCTGATAAATTAATTCGGACGTTGGACGCCGGCATAACATGCAGTGATGGGCATCTCCTAAAATAGCATAGATAACATATAATGAGGTTTTCTGCAACTTATCGACAACCGCCCCAGCTGGTGAGATGACATCTATATATATATATAAAATATTAGTCAGCGAGTAGTAAGACGTGCTCTCTGTCTCTGGCCACCTATAAGTACCCCACCTCGCCTATCAAAAACCCACACACCGCCCTCAGCCAGTCTCCCTTCTTCTTGCTCGTCTACGGACCAAGAGAATCGATGGAAACAAAGCGCGTAGCCATCGTCGGCGCCGGCGTGAGCGGCCTGGCGGCGTGCAAGCACCTGCTGGAGCGCGGCTGCCGGCCGGTCGTGTTCGAGGCCGACACCGTCCTGGGCGGCGTGTGGGCGCGCCCGCCGGAGTGCACCGCGCTGCAGACGCCGCGGCCCATGTACCAGTACTCCGACTTCCCGTGGCCGGAGTCCGTGACGGAGGTCTTCCCGGACCACCGCCAGGTCATGCACTACCTCGACGCCTACGCGCGCCACTTCGGCGTGCTCGACTGCGTCAGGTTCGGCCTCCGGGTGCTCGGGATGGAGTACGTTGGCGTCAGCGAGGAGAAGCTGGCCGTGTGGGAGGAGTGGGGCGGGAGCGGCGAGGCGTTCGGCTCTGGCTCTGGCGAGTGGCGACTCAAGGTGGCCAATGGCGATGACCACGTCGAGGTAAGATTTTCTTTTTCTTTTCTTGAGTGATGTCGAGGTAAGAATTTGGCTAATGTAGGTAGAGATCTTGAAATATTCAGTTCTCGGCTTATCGCAAAGTTCTCGGCTTATACGATACTAATTGTTGGTTCTTCACGGTAGCTGCTAGATAGTTGCATGTCAGAAATCATGGTAATGGTAATTTTCCGTGTTTCTAGATTTAGAGTTTGCACATTATTATTATTTCAGAGGAACTCAGAGTTGCTAATTCTCATCTACTAGATGAGAAATAACAAGGTTATTTTGTGCGATTTTAGATTTGATGATGACGTACAACTAGATCGGCTTGAAAATGACAATCTACCACACAATCTAAAATAGTGAGTCCAACAAAAACAAATACTAAGTAGCATGCAGCATGCCACCTGGCACTATTTAAACATCACAGAATTCAACATTCAAGGCAAACTTCAAGCGTACGTTTACAGGTGATTACATATTAGACAATATAGTTTTAGATCCAAACTCTCTGAACATCAATCATATACGGAATTAATTTAGATTCTTGGTTTTCGAGTATAATACGGTTATTATGTGACCCACCCTAGTATATATAGTACAAAAAGGATTATTAGATTTACACTGTTCCCTTACATTTTCTCTTCTCTAGACACACATTGTAGATTTTGTGGTCCTTTGCATTGGGAGGTTCAGTGGGGTGCCCAACATACCCGAGTTCCCCACCGGAAGAGGTCCAGAAGCATTTGACGGGAAGGTGATCCACTCAATGGACTACTCCAAAATGGGCAGTATGAAAGCTAAGGAGATGATCGCGGGCAAGCGTGTGACCGTAGTTGGGTACCTAAAATCAGCACTCGACATTGCTGCTGAATGTGCAGAAGTGAATGGTACGAATGCGCAAATTAAGCCTTTTCATTTCCTTAACTAAACATCGATTTATGTTCTCTTATGAATTTTAATGTACTTCTCGCTACCGTAGGCACGGAGCAACCGTGTACGATGATAGTCCGAACAAAGCATTGGATCATACCCGACTACTATGCTTGGGGTGTCCACATATCAAAGTTGTATCTGAATCGCTTCTCTGAACTCCTTATTCACAAGCCCGGTGAAGGTTTCCTCCTGAGCCTCTTGGCCATCACCTTGACTCCATTGGTAGTGCAACTGAACATGTTACTCTTATTTGAATTCAATCTATGCATTTTTATTTCAACTAAATTCTTAGATGTTGTCTATGAGCAGCGGTGGATATTTTCAAAGTTCGCTGAGAGCTACTACTCCATTCCAATGAAGAAGTATGACATGGTACCTGACCATAGCCTTTTCGAGGCATTGGTGACATGCTTGATTGCCATCACACCTAAAGATCACTACAAGAGACTGGAGGAAGGTAGCATTATTCTGAAGAAGTCCAAGACCTTTAGCTTTTGCAAGGAAGGTGTGCTTCTTGAAGGTGAATCTTCACCGACAAAAAGCGATATAGTGATATTTGGAACTGGATTCAAGGGGGATCGGAAGATCAAGGATATGTTCACATCAGAATACTTCCAGAAGATTGTTGTTGGGTCAACATCAACAACTGTGCCTCTGTATAGGTTTGTTTATCACATTAACCTTTCCCTCTATATATTTATCAATTACGAGTTTCGGATTTATAATGGTTTGCACGTTTCTTTGGTAATTAGGGAATGCATCCATCCTAAGATTCCGCAGCTCGCAGTCATCGGGTATTCAGAGAGCTTAGCAAACCTGTACACAACAGAACTTCGGGTCAAGTGGCTAACACACTTCATGGATGGTGGCTTCAGATTACCATCTGTTCAAGCAATGCAAAGGGATGTCCTTGAGTGGGATAAATTCATGAAGCGCTATTCTCGTGTCTACTTCCGTAGGTCCTGCATTGGTATCCTTAACATTTGGTACAACGACCAACTATGCAAGGATATGGGGTGCAATCCTAGAAGGAAGAAAGGCTTTTTCGCGGAGTTGTCCGAGGTTTATGGTCCTGGTGATTATGTCAACCTCCACCCCAAATAAGAATGTGTTGTGTTTGCATTTTCATCGCAGTTATGTACACGTCCTACCTTGTTCAGATTCTTGCACGGTTCACATTCAGTACTCACTTTGCGATACCATGTACTCATTTATGTTCCCTATCTAAATAAATCTTATATAATGTAGAATGTTCCCTGTTAAAAAATCACTACTGGTCTTGGGGTGCGCGACCTGGTAACCAACAATGCCGGCCTGCTTGTTAAACTTCTACATCGACTACACCAGCCGCAGAGCTCGGCCTGGGCGGTGTGGTTCTGGCGAGAATACCACACAACGTGGACGACAAGCGCTCCCTCGCGTCGGCCGTTTGGAAGGCGCTCACGACCCTGCTCCCTCTCTACCGCGACCTATCTTGCGTTCGCACCCGGAGACGGTGCTCGGACAGCATTCTGGGTTGATAGCTGGTGCGCGGAGGCCGGCCCACTCAACAGACACTTTTCTCCCATGTTTCTGAAGCTGCTGCCACAGCTGCTTCTATGTGCCGGGATGGGATCCCTGGCCACCTTGCTCCTCGCCTTTCGGCCGTGGCCGGCCAAGAGCTGACCATGCTCCCCAGCTGCTTGCCCAACCTGACAGCCGGTGTGGATGATGACCGCTCCTTCATCAAGTCTATGGACGGCAAAGCTATTTCCTCCTCAGGTGTACAAACTGCTTACCTTCACAGGCGAGCGTTGTCCTGTACAGGATTCTATCTGGCAGGCCGCCGTGCCGCCCGGAGTGCGGCTGTTCGGGTGGCTTGTGGCCCCGGACCGCGTCCACTCAAAGGCGAACCTGCTCAGGAAACATATCCGGCATGAGGACAGCTGCGAGCTCTGCAGCAGGTCCTCTGAAACAACGGATGTCGGGATCTTGGAGGTCCGGCCGCCTGCCCTTGCACTGGGACACAGTGCGCCTGCTGCTCCTGTGGACCATCTGGAATCATCGCCACGGCGTCGTTTTCCGTGGGAACAGGCCGGCGATCAGCAGTTCTGCTACTGCTGATCTTAGGTTTTGGTCTTTTAGACTGAAATACCATGGATGGGGAGGCATCCTGGGGCCTGGGTCCCCTACTTAGAATCCCTGAACCTGTGATTCTTCTGTAATCTGAAAACTCAACTCTTGTAGTACTTCCCCTGTGCCGTGGGGGTTCTCCTGCTGCTATGCAGCTATGAGAAATATATTGATTGTTAATCGCCCCACCAGTTTCAGAGCTTGCAAACAATTAATTGTTTGAGATAACACAGATAATCCATTGTATGATATGTTTATCTGCTCTAATTGACACACATAGCATAAGATAGATCCGTCTTATCAATGATTGTACAGTCTTATTGCTAAATTATGCATGAGGGTTCTTATTTCTTTACAGAGGAAGTAGTAAGCATCAGACTTGTTACGAGAGGCTCCTACTGCTTTGCTATGCAAATTCAACAAGTTGTGAGGATTGGTGATCACATAGTTAGCACACGGAATTAAATAAGGCATCATTTCAAGTCTGAAACAACCATAAATCGCATCTCTGAATATCAACAGCACAGCTGAAATCTAAGTGAAAGAAACTCCAACGGCACGTGCAGTCAACTTGTCAATTGTTTACCCGTATCTACTCACTTGTTACAAACAAAGTAGACACTCGGACCAACGATGCCTAGCTGAACTAGGAGCTCGAATGGTTTCAGTCACAGCCCCAGAGAGCAGTCTGACGACAAACCAGTCACCTCCGAGACCCTGAGCCACCTCTTGCGCGGGTACCCCTTCTTTTAGGCTTTTCCTCTGCAGTACCATCGCTGGACTGGTTGGGCTGCGCATCCCCGCTCTTTGACCTGATCCATACATCACACACCAAATTAACACATCGACTGAAAGCTCGGTGACAAACAAAATATTACGGCTAGCGTATCTTACCCTTCCACGTGACGTCCCAAGAATTCGAGAACATCGAGAAACGCATACAAAGCCATCTTCTTGATCTATAAATAACCAAAACCAACTTCAGACCAGTCATCAATTTTCCTCGAATACAATATAGTAAGCGTGATTTTCGAGAACATATGCTGCTAACCTCAAGCTTATCTTCTTTAGCCTTGTGGGAAGATGGAAGTGCCCTGAACTCGTCCGTCAGCTTAACACACTCACCCACATTTTCGGGGGAAACAAAGTCCATCGCAACCTTGGTGCAAGACTGCACAGGAGGAAATGGGTACAGTCTTGAGCACCGTGCTAAATTCAAAAGAGAGTGAGGTTTCATACCTTCAAATTCCTGACTTGGTGAGGACACCCGGCAGGAATGAGAACTGCGTCCCCAAGCTTCTGCTCAAATGTCCATGGCTCAACACCTAAAGCAGGCAAGCCAACACATAAGGAAACGACATCACAAGTAATGAGGCACACTGTGTTTAGGAAGATTTAACACCTAAGGTTTACTAACCATATTCTTTCTTGAGCTTCTTCTTATGTTTTTCTGTCAGATAGAATGTCTGATCATGAATTGGGTGGATAACCTGCACAATATATAACATAATATGTTATGTAGGATAAGAAAACTACAAAATGTAACTTCTATGAATGGAACAGATTCTTTTAAAATACCTGATTCACAGGATTGCAGTGGATGTGGCGAAACTCCGAGGCATGGTTCCGTAGATATTTTTGTAATTTCTCTGAATCCTCTCTTCGGAATATATCCCACAAAGCACCACCAGTTTTATCTTTCTCTGTCTTCTCAGGAACTGGCTTGGGAGGATCAATAGCTTTATTTCGATGCACCTTTCTACGAATTCCTTTGCCAATCTCATCAGATTTACCAGGAATAGGAGGATCACTGGCTTTATCTTGATGCACCTTTCTGTTATCGCGACGTTGATAGTACAAACGAGTTCCGTTGCGGATCTCATCGGATTTGGTAACAGATTTATGAGGTGACACTTTATCATTAACGTCATCTGTAGCATCGCGACGTGGAGCATTTATGTGCAAACCTGCAAGACACAAATATGACATGAGAGAAAAACCTAAAATCAATTTCCCCAAAACAAGTAGTGATACGTACCATTAGAACTATTTTTATAACTTTCCATACTACATGAAGTCATCGCGGCTTCGTAAGATCCATCAACAGATGGCTGTGCCCTAAGCTCAGTGCATGAATTCAAATCCCCACGCAGTTCCTGAAGATCTTGCTTTCTCATGTTTTCCTGGACTTTTTTAATCCGACAAAGATCATATGTCTCACATGGCACTTCGTCAGTGTGTGTTTGGATATTTACCTGGTTAAATTAGACATCTGTTACAGTTAAACCAGAGCAACAGACAAATAAGAAAACAACTATGCAACGATCAGCGAGAGAGCACAGGGAAATTTGCTAGGAAATCAAGATAACCAAAGTGGCATGCAGATCGTCAAGGTAGAGACCAGCATTTCATGGCAAAAGTTTAACCATATCCGAGGCAAACTAATAAAAAAACTCTATTGTTATAAAAATAACAACATACCGCATCAGAAACGTCACAATGAAGCTTGGTCACTGAGTCACCCCGGCCTAACTCTTCGGAAAATCCATAAGCAATGTAACTTTTCGGCCCAAGATCTGGTTTCATGACACCAGCAGGAAGCTTAACCGAAAGATTTAGTGGACCAGATCTTGGATCGGTGTACTCAGGAAATGGCAACGCGCTGATAAATTCAGCACAATGGCGAGGCAATCTCTTGTCAAACGTACTAGAAGGAGGCCAGTCCTTCAACTTAAGCATCTCAGGCCAGTGAGGCCCGCGATGACTTCTGCCATTTTTATATCCCTTAAAGAAATCGCTGATTTTAAGTGACCCCTGCAACATCAAACATAGCACAATAAGCGCCTACATATTAAACCAAAATTTTCGAAATTCAAAGGGACTCACATATAAAGTGTGGCGAAAGCCTTTTCTGGTAAACATCATTATTCAAAATGGGGAATTCAGTTCACTGATGAATCAATAAAATTCCATAAAACTAGTACCCCTTCCAATTTAAAATATAAGGCCAACATTTTGTGCACTTTTCTTTCAAAATAAATATAAGATATATGCATGTAAAATTGATGGCTTGTTAACTATTCACTCTCCTGACAAATAATACAGTGTGGGAACCACGGTCATTTTTCTAGTACTAATTGCTGGATTAAACCCCTGTACCAAAATGATCCTTATAAAATGGAAAACATAATTTACCATTTCTTCTGGAACATAGTACATATATGTAATTAGTTCTGTAATTTTATAAGTAATCACTAAAGTATCATCATAAGTATTTCTGCTTGAAGTTTTGACATGAGTATTTCTGCTTGAACTTCTGACGTGCAAGCAGAGCAAGCACACGAGAGTGCAAAACAACTGTCATCATCTAAATATGGCAAGAGTAAGGCACAATCACTGCTTACCACTAAAAATAAATCAAAGAAATCGACAATTATGACATCCAATAAAAATGTGGATAGAGTTCGGTACCTCACACCAATCAAGGCAATCTACTACCCTCACATCAAACTTCTCATCTTCTGCCTTGCCCTTGGCTCTTTCACGCAATGCCCGCCACATAACCATCGGTGCCCAACTAACACCAGAGGTTGATTGAAGAACATCAGAGACAACAACTGGCTCACCCTTTGCCCAATGCATCTGGAAGTGAATTAGGTCATCATCACCGAGACCAGTGGCAACTGGACAATATAGATAGTTATCACTTGAGCCCTTCCTATCTGCAGCCTTCCGTACTGTCTTTATGTCAGTTCTTACCGTGCCCGAATGATCAAAACAAGGACACTGGTCACTTCTACTAAATGTTGTTTTTTCAAATATTTCACTCCTCACAAGTTTGTCAGCTCTCTCTTGTAAGTCAGCATGCATTTTCTCCGGAAACATGCATTTGAGGTCCAAGTCAGAACCACCACAGCCCCCCATTTCCTTTGGTGGGCAAGGTATGCCACCATCACTATTTGCACTCCATAGTAGCAGAGAGCAAGATTTGCTACCACCAGTAGGGGAGTCCATCTTCCTCCTCAAAGAGTCCCTTTGATTCTCACCATTTGAATGAAAATTATTGCCGAAAATATAGTCCTCTCCTCTGTTCTCATACTGCACATTCTCCACCTCTTCTCCTCCGGGGATCTCACCATTGCGAAGCTCCCGGCAGCAGATGAGGCACAGGTCATAGAGACAATGCTTGCAGCTTCTATGAAAATCGAATATA